AAATAACATATTCAACGATGAAGAATCTTCTATTATTAATCGGAATACACCTATTTCTTTTTTATAATCTCGAAGACAGCAGATTTTTACTTTTCTTTTTAATTTTTAATAACACAGAATCGTATTATAAAAAGTTTAAACCACAATCTAAACCGACATCAAGCGAGACCGTAGAAGTTCGGACTTTGAAGCATCGAATATTGTTGACGAGATCTTAGGGATTAAGAACGATAATAATTAGCTTTAAAAAAACTATACAGTAAATGCTAAATGCTCATATTAATTAAATATAATAGTTTTGTTTATTTATAGTTTTCACAGCTTTCACGTTTTTACCTAAGTTTTATCGATTTATATTTGATAGTTTTCACGTTTTAACCTAAGCGTCTAAAATATAAATGGTATTGGCCTATCACGTGGCTAGTTTGTACTCTTATCAAGTTTATCATGAGTATTCTCGACATCTTTAGTAACTATCGCAGGGGAGAAATTTGTACTGTTATGTCAAGTTTAACTCCGATGGTTGACTTTAGAAGGTCAAATGAACTTGGCAATAAATTATGGGGTTTGGATATTCATGATTTATTGGGCATTTATTATAAAAAGAATGTGAATTTTATGTGGTCTTTATTTAAAGAGGAATTTGGAGCGAATGTTGTTGCTCAACGAAGGGCGAGAGCAAGCGTTTATATACATGTTAATTCTTAGAACGTGATCATGAGTTTGAGCGTATACGCTGTAATTTGAGCGTTCACACTGTGAATTAAGCGCATACGCGATATTTTGAGCGTACACGCACTTGCATGAATTAAGCCATCGAGAATACGCAATAATGCCCAATACTACCAAGATTATGATAGTACAATTATGGGAGGTATGACAAATACAGAAATGAGGAAAACAGGAAAAATTAATCATAGAAAGGTTATTAAAACCTCCTAATTATTATAACATTTATAATTTTATTAACTTAAATTTTTACATAGAATTGCACAATGGAAGATTAAGAAAAAGACGATTCAAAGACATTACAGTAATAATTAAAATAATGTTCATGAAATTAAAAAAAAATTCGGGATTGCATATAGAGTGTGCGTTATTGTGAGATCATGCATACTATTTTTAAGGGGCATACTTTTCTGAATAATGCTCAATTTTGCTTAACATAACATTGAAATTTGGCGGCGAGGCCGCCCACATTGCTACCATTGATTCTAATTTTCTCGAAACCGATCTTCCCGAAATACTACTTCTTTACCCATAATTCCGATAACCCTTTTTCCCGACAAAACGTATGGTCTAGGTGCTACAGAAAGGGGAAATCAGCATAAAAATCCATTGATTGATCAGATTTTGTGGTGTACTGTATAATTATTGTGACAAATAATGCAGGTTAACGAATGTTCAAATATATAAAATATAAACCGAGGTTAAGGTCTAAATGTTCATTAAAAGTTAAAAAAAAAAATTGGCCGCTAAACTTTGAACGAAGATTACTCAGCACTTACTTGTCAATTCGGTCAAATTTTTTTATTTTAATTATGCGAGCTTAGAATTAAGATAAAAAAATTTTGATCAAATTTGATCGGGTAAGTGCCGAGTAATCTTCGTTCAAAGTTTAGGTGTCTATAAAAAAAAGCTGTGGCCAAATTTTTTCTTAACTTTTAATGAATATTTTTTTGACAACTTGCTATACAAATTCAATTAATTTTTTTATTTATTTACATTAATTCCATGAACTCATAGAATTAAAATAAATCATCAAATTCTGATAGTTTGCTGTCGAGAAATCTTTGTTTTAAGTTTTTTAAAAAATTTTAGTAATGTTGCAATAAATATTTATTTAAACTTTAAATGACAATTTCTCGACAACTGACTATCAGAATTTGACGAAAATTTTTATTTAATTCTGTGAATTCATGGAATTAAAATAAAAATTTTTCGAAAAAATATAAAAAAAAGTTGACCGCAGCTTCTTTTTTTAAGGCGTCTAAACTTTGACCGAAGATTGCTCAGCACTTACCTGATCAAAATTTTCTTATTTAAATTTCATAAGCTCATAGTATTAAAATAAAAACAATTAATCGAATTTGACCATGTAAGTGCCGAGTAATCTCGTTCAAAGTTTAGATACGTTAAAAAAAGAAGCTGCGGCCAATGTTTTTTTTTTTTTAACTTCTAATGAAGATTTCTCGACAACCTGCTATACAAATTCGATCAAATTTTTTTATTTTAATTTATGAATTAATAGAATTAAAATAAAAATTTTCATCAAATTAGATAGCAGGTTGTCAAGAAATCTTCATTTGCAGTTCTAAGAAGAAAAATTTACCCGATTTTAGTTTTTTTCGATATTTTTAAGTTGGTTTAAAACTGTTAGCGATGGTTTCTCGCTAATTACCAAATATAATTTTTTTTTTTTTTTTATTTAATCCTACTAAACTATAGAATTAAAATAAAAAATATTTTACCGAATTGACCAGGCAGCTATTGAGAAACATTCGCTAGAAGTTTTAAAAAAACACAAAACAACAATTTTTAAAATAACAAAACATTATATTATGGTTAGTTTATGATCTTATGATCGCATCGGAGCTTTTTTTATACCAAAATTTAGCAAGGAATTTTTTTTTTGTTAATGCACAGTAAGTAGTTTCATATAGTTATGTCCGTCGCTACGTTCCGGCCAATAAATAATGAATTGCCAATTAAGGAAAGAAACATGTATATGCATAAACTAGCATTTGTTGAACGATGATCATCGTCTCGTGACTTCAAACCGAGCACAGATTCTAATTTTGCAATCGAATCAAATAACATTTTGCGTCGTACGATTCTTGAAGCAATGCTCTTAAGGGCTAATTTGAGCTGCAAATTTTATTTGCATGTGGATGTATTTAGCTTTAACGTTAATAATTATCGGCATTACTATTATGACAACGATAGTACAAGAATGATCAAAGATAGATAGATAATTTTGCAGTGATAAACATGAGTATCACAAAAGAAAAATCTTTAAAGAAACGATAACACAAAGATAGATAGATAATTTTGCAGTGATAAACATGAGTATCACAATAGAAAAATCTTTAAAGAAACGATAACATTATTTTTAAGGTGTTTGTTTTGTAATACCCATGTAATATAGATCAGTGTTGGGAAATGACCGGTCATTTGATTCTAAATGACCAAATGACCCCAAATGACCCTAGGTCATTTGGACCAATTCATTTGGTATAATTAGATAAAATGATTTATAAAAATATTAGACAAATATTAAATATTAGACAAATATTAAATATTTGAATAATAAATCGTTCATAATCAATATTAAGACAATAGTACAAATTTGTATGTGGGCCACACACAAATTTGATCAAAAGATACATCATTTTGCAAACCGATTGGTATCAAAATCTTGTATTCTTAAAAATCATCAAAAAAGTTAATCGATTGTTAAAAGCATAAAATAAAAAAAAAAACATTTTGTGACAAAACATGCCTGTCTTTTAATATACTGCAATAAAAATACTCTAGCTGTCGCCAGGGCAAATTCTCGATATTACGTAATTGGCTAACTGCCGTGATCTGCAAAATTTTGACCCGCATTATAAAATTGCTATAATTTTTGGCCGGAATTAAAATTTTAACTTTATTACATCCTAAATTTTTGATCGTCGCTCTTAACCAATCAAAATCGCAAATCTGTAGTGACGAAATAATCCTTTAATTTGTGCACTTCATGCTGAATTAAGCAATAGTTATGATTTATCAGCCAGGAAATAAAAATTTGGCATCGGCTAGCCGGTCAGCTAAGCCGCTCTAACCGACTATTATTGACTACCACTATAGTCGGGTGGCTAGCCGACTATAACCAACCGAACCCATCATTAATCTTGTGATCTAGTAATCGGACTTTGATGATTTTAGTACCATTCGAATCGTCTCATTGAGATGACTCGAATAATATTATACCGCGAAATATCAAAATGGAAGTTCATGTAATGTGACGAATTTAATTGGGATTTACGCGAATTTGGTAGGAAAAGCCATATAAAGATTAAATTACAACATTTTGGAATAGTTATCTCATCTCAAATTTACAAGAAATCATTTATTCAAGCTTATTATCATGACAGGATTATCAACCAGTCAAGCCTCTCTATAGTCACACACTTTGAATACAAAAATATGTGATTGTAGAATTGTGTGACAATTATAGATGTCAAATTTATTGTATTTAATGATAGTTTTTTCAAAAAAAATATGCTTATAAAGAAAATGTGCTTATATAAGAGGTGACTATAGAGAGGTCTGACTGAATAAGTAATATTAAATATTGAATGACTCTAAAGGAAGACAAAATTTCGAGTTAGTAAAAATCTTAATTTCATCACTCCTGTTAGAGCATATACCAATTATAGAAACATTACCAATAATTTTACTTGGATTAGTCTAGAATATAAAAATGCATCCTATGTTTTTCAATTCCGACTTACGTGATCTTTATTTATCTGATGTTTATGTAGCAATCAAATTCAGGTATAACCAAATCAAACTAGAATTAAAAATTTTATCGCGCCCTTCTGTTTGTCATTAAATTGCAATATCAGGTGTAACCAGGGTTAGCAATGGAGCTCAATGGAGCCCAATGGAGCTGAGAATGGAGCAAATGGAGCTCTAAATAAAGCAAATGGATACTAGTTTTTTGAGCTTTATTCGCGTAGTCATTTAGCTCCATTAGCTCCATTAGCTCCATTGCCAACCCTGGGCGTAACATGTAAATTAAACGCCATATACAGAATGTTTCTTTACAAAGATAAAAAAAGAAAACTTTGTGTTGTGTTGTCTAAATACAAAAACATATAACGGAAGAATTAAGAAAACTCCGAATTCCTTATAAAATCATCGCCCTTAACCCTTCAACTCGCTCACGCCATATTATATTCACTTGAGTCTTACCTTTCTATTGTCCACCATATCACTTGAACCTTATAACAATGTCTTTAAAGTTTTACATCATCTTTGCTTTCTTTGCTTCTGTTCTTTTGATGGCGTTTTCAGTCTCGTCTGCACCAGTTGCTGATAATGGTGCCGGTAGTGGTGGCTTCTATGATATGAAAACTCTTAAAAATGACGAAAATGTCACCAGACGTGATGCCTATCCTAATCCAGAATCTTCAGGCGGTCTTTACGAAATGGCTGATCTTAAAAGCAAAAGGGAATTTTCTGAAAATGGAATTAATGACCTTTCTAAACGTGGTGATGCTGATGAGCACCAACTCTCTAAACGGGCCTTGTTTCACTATGGAGAATTATACGACACTTACAGCTGCTGTTATTACTATTGCAGTTATTACAATTACTGTGCGTATAGCAACTATGCATCGCCTTCTTATTGCGTATGCTTCGATGCTTAATAGCATCTTCTGAAATAATATCAGATGTTTTATTTATTTATTTATTTTTTTTGTACTTACATTATTAACGTCTTTTTTTTGTCATTTCAAAAATGATGTCAAATTATGAGATTATTTTCTTTATTGTTTAATGACCTCTGTTATTTTAATGAAAGATTATAATAAAGTTAAATTATTTGATCCATTTTTTAAAGGTAATTTAACATCTAATGAATCATAAAACGTTTAAAAGATATCACTACACGTACGTAACCATAAAAGTTGACTAGGAATAAAAAAAAAAAACAATTTAATAATAAATTGAATGCTAGACCCGAATGTACATATTACAGTCAGACCTCTCTATAGTCATACTCGTTATAAGCACATCATGTAAAGAATCAATTACAGTCAATTCTCTAATAATCACACACTTTGGATACAAAAATATGTGATTGTAGATAAGTGTGACAATTATAGTTGTCAAATTTATTATTTAATGATAGTTTGTTTTTTTAAAAAAAAATGCTCATAAAGAAAATGTGCTCATATAGGAGGTGACTAGAGAGAGGTCCGACTGTATATATAAAACATATTAAAAAATCTCTTTATAAGCACACAAATCTTTATCCCGAGGGGTGTGTTATAGAGAGTTCTGACTGTACTAGCACTGTATTAAATTAGAATCTGTGCCCGGTTTGTCGATCATCATGCACGTTTGTGTAACATCTACGTATGAGCGTATCATTAATGTTTTTTTTAAAAACTGCTAGCGATGATTTCTCAATAACTACTATAACTACTTGAATTAATTCAGTAAAATTATTTTTATTTTAATTTCATAATGTCATAGAATTAAGATAAAAAAATTTCATTAAATTTGGTTTAGTAGGTTTCGAGAAATCATAGCAAAAATGTAAAAAAAAAACTAAAAAATCTTTGAAATAAAAAACTAAAATCGGTGAAATTTTTCTTTCTATGAACTTTAAACGACGATTTCTCGATACTAAACTATCCAAATTTGATGAGTTTTTTTTTCAATTCAGTGGGATCATAGAACCAAAATAAAAAATTTATCGAATTTGAATAGCTGGTTGTTGAAAAATATTCATTAAAAGCTAAAAAAAAAGTTTACCGCAGTTTTTTATTTATAGGCGCCAAAACTTTTAACGTAGATTATTTGGCACTTACCTAGTCAAATTCGATCAACTTTTTTTTATTTTAATTATATATGCTCATAGTATTAAATAAAAAAAAAAAGATCGAATTTAACTATGTAAGTGCCAAGTAATCTTCGTTAAAGTTTTGGCGCCTATAAATATAAACTACGGTAAAATTTTTTTTAGCTTTTAATAAATATTTTTTGACAACAAGCCATTCTAATTCGATAATTTTTTTTTATTATAATTCTATGATCCCACAGATTAAAATAAAAAAAAATCATCAAATTTGGATAGTTTAATATCAAGATATTGTTACTATTGTTTGGGAGAGCGATTGTAATATTAGGTGCGATTTAGCTCCAATAGTGAACTTGGGTGGTTTATAAGTATCGTTTGTTAAGGCTTGAACACATGAATTGAGATCTCGATTTACGTAGATCGGGATCGGGTCCCGGCTAAATTAGTCCCGATTTAGATTATGCACGTAATTTAAGGGTTAACAGAAAGGGTAATTTGAGGATGGCATCAGTTAATAATGAGTATTAGAAACAATGGGATGGGTCTATACTAGGAATAAGGGCGGTTCGAGATAATAAGATGGGTTATAGGTAACAATCGAAAATACTGGTTTTAATAGATTATAATCGGGTAACAATTTGGGTAATTCTAGGATAACAAATAAAATAAAAAAAAATACGTTTCAACAATATCGTTCACAACTATATAAACAAGTGAGAATTCGATTCCTATTTCATATTTATTGAAGACATCGAAGTCTGAGAGAAACTTTATTAATGAAACTTCAGGCCTTTAAATACATTTTCATTCATATAAGACTGGGCTTCTCATATTTTTTGAAATAATTTAAATTCCCCTCACCTCCTCACAACGCTTGTGCATGATCTGGCACAACGATTGTGAGAGATTCTTCTACAAGTAATTCCTTTCATACTACTAGGAACTAAGCACACAACGATTGTGAGCTAAACCTCAATTGTGGCTATCGATGTCTACTCTAGGGATCTATCGCTTAATACATATCTTATAAATAAACAAATAATAATAAAAATAAAAGATAAATAGAAAATAAAAAATTCGTCTAAGCCCTAAACGGCCCTCGTCACGGGACCCACGACTTTTCCCGTGACAATATCTTCATTTAAAGTTCAACCGGTTTTAATTTTTTTTTTGGTTTTTTTAAAAAAGATTTTGCGACAATTTCTCAAAAACTACTAAACCAAATTTTATGAACTTTTTTTTATTTTAATTCTATAAGATATTGAAATTTAAATAATAAAATCTTACTAAATTAAATCATGTAGTTATAGAGAAATCATCGCTAGAAGTTTTAAAAAACTTCTGAATTTTATTAATAGGATCTTCAATACACACATGTAGATATTACACAAACGTGCATGTGATCGACAAACTGGGCACAGATTCTAATTTCGCGTACGTACTGTATTTCAAGATTTAGTAGAGATGTGTAATAGTATTAGATATTATATATATCAGTATATTGATTGTATATAATTAGTATATTGACTGTATTTCAAAGTATATATATGATAATTATTATCACACAAATTATCATAAATTACACATTAATGAATGTTATAGATAAAGTATGCAAGTACATATTTGCATTTAATAGAAATGGGAAGAGCCATTATGTCTAGTTTAGGTTAGTAAGCTGTAGTGTCCCGATCCTTAATCAGATCATCTAAATTGGTCCTTAATTTAGATAAATTTAAATATCCAGATCAGAGATTTTTACTCAGATTTGTTAAAGAACTTAAATAATGAATATAAGGATGTTCTCAAAGCTAGCTTTATTTCTAATCTGACACGGATTCAATCTGGATGGCCTGTCAAAGATAGGATCAGAATATAGTAAGCTGGATAAAAATATAAGAAATATGTTTAGATATATAGAATTACACAGATGTGAATTTAATATTTATGTATGTACATATGCGAAATAATGCACAGGGTGAAATTATGAATTCTGGTCTAAATTAAGCTTAATTTGGGCTAAACCTTGAAATAACACCCATGGTCATTATTTTGTGATAATATGGTATGTATGTATGTGTTTTGCATTATTTCTAATTTAGATTGATTTAGAATTGACTTATGTCATTCTTAATTTAGAGGATAGGCCTGTGAACTCTTGATATAATAACCAGCTTAGAAAACAAGAATCTGGTAAATTTTTATACAGTTATATATTTTTGTCCGAAGGACACTACTGGGTAGGTCAATAGTACACCCGATGTCTGTGTGTTAACAAATTCTGGAACCTGATTGGCTAGATCAGGTGTAATATAAAAGATTTAAAAACAATCAAAACTAATGTTTATTGGCTAGATTAGGTGTAATATAAAAACAAACTGACACGTAGTCAAATTTATCACCTGATGCTTATTAGTTAGATTAGCTGTAACATATAAAAGAAAAAAAAAGCTGGTTTCTATTAAATTTGAAGGTTTTATTGCAAAAACAAATGATTTTAAATACTGTATAAATTTATATATAATATAGTATAAATTAAATTTGAAATTTATATTTGGTCCTTTGGACTTTGAATGGTTTCTATTTACCTAGTATAGATCTAAAAATAGCATGATTATATCAAGGTTGTGACTATGTTTAAGTTTATACAAGTACTGGGTGAATAATATATCTATATCCAGATATCTGTAAATTTTTAAAAGTGTTCAAAAATAAATTAAAATTTAAATATTTTCTAATTAATAAGGAACAAGTTAACAAGCATAAAAACAATTTGAATCATTCTGAGAAGGTATAAATTTTAATTTTATTTAATGGGTATCTGTTTGCTATACTAAATTTAGTACAGTATTAAAAGTTAAATTTTGAAAAATTGGTATTAATAACTTTAAATTAAATTTATCCAA